GTATATTCCTATTATCTATAATATGGTTGTTAGATAAGAATATTAATAAATCATATTAGACAGATCTTTTTTTTTTTTATGTTTTTCATATAAATGATCAACAAAAAATGATCGATACTATTATGAAGAGCAATTAGACCCCTGTAAATAATGACATTTTACTTGACTGATATTAATCAATTTTTCTACTAAAATGAAATTAAGATATAAGATATCTTAAAAAATTCAATTAATAAATAAAGTAGAATTTTAATTTATTAATTATAATTTTTATATTTACTTCAGATCTTTAAAAATGTACAGTGACACCTTTATAAATCACTTTCTTAGGATCATAATAAAAAAAAAATAGCAGAATATGCATTTAGAGAAGGTATGCATTTATAGAGATTAAAATATTAAGAGCTCTTATGAGTTGAAACCAATGCATTTAGAGAGAATTTACATAAAGTATGCATTTATAGAGAATGCACTTATGGAGATTTTACTATATTAGCAATCAAATCAAGCCTCATTCTATGATATACATAAAAAAATTTTTGTTTGAAAAATATGGTTGGACTTCTTGATTTTATACAATTCTAATTTTACTCAGATAGATAGAAATGAATTAAGTTAAAATAATTAATCATTTCTCATTGATTTTAAACTCATGGTCATAATACATAATATTGAGATTAATAATTTAATTAAGCGATATTGGTTTATTTTGGATTTTGTTAAAACTTAAGAAAAAAAAAATCGGAAGAAACTAAATGTTTAAATAAAAATCTCGGTGGTGAAATAAACAACACTCATTTCTTTTTCATTAAAGATATTTTACTTTCTCTTCGTCAAAATGTGATTATAATATATGACTGAGACAACCACATAAAATATCAAAAAATGATTTATTGAACAAATAATCAAATATGCTAATAAAATAAATATATTCTTATGTAACAAAATTTCTTAAAATAAATGGAGGAACGACATCCTATATTTATATATTCAGATATTTATTAAAGACTCTATTAAAGATCAAATGATATAAAATATCACTATTCACCACATCCAAATTCTAAATAATGATATTTTTTTTTTATTTTATTTTTATTTATCGCTTAAAACTAAATGTGTTCGGTTGAGAGAAACCGAATAAACCGGGTTTAGTAGTTGTACTTGGCTGACCAAAGAGGTTGGACTGACTTGGTTGACCAAACAAACTCGATTGACTAGGTTGACCGAATAAACTTGGTTGGCTGGTTTGGCTCGACTGACCGAATAAACTTGGTTGGCTTGATTGACCGAATAAACTTGGTTGGCTTGATTGACCAAATAAACTTGGTTGGCTTGACTGACCGAATAAACTTGGTTGGCTTGATTGACCGAATAAACTTTGTTGGCTTGACTGACCAAACATACTGGGTTGGCTAGTTTGACCAAACATACTGGGTTGGCTAGTTTGACCAAATAAGCTTGGTTGACTTTGTTGACCGAATAAATTTGGTTTTGTCTGGCCGAGGTTGAATAAGTTCGATTGTGTAGTTTGACCGAATAAGGTTGATGGTTTGGGCTGATTTAAATTAAATAGACTTGGTTGTGATGATTGGCCAAATAAGCCAGGTTGACTGGTTTGTCCAAATAAACCAGATTGGCCCTGTTGGACAAACATATTAGGTTGGGGGGCTGGTTTGATTAAATCAATTTGACTAGGTGGTTTTAATTGATTAAGCTGGGCTGCTGATGTTACAACTGGAAGATTTTTTGCCAATTCCTGTGCTGGCTTTCTTTCATCGGAAGATGTTCCTCTCGAACCTTATTTGTGAAAATTCGAAAATTAATATAAATGCAAAATCTAATGATATGATTTAACATCTACTTACTATCTATACTTGGTTCTTTTTGTACTTCAAATGGGTTAGAATTATCATGAAAATGAACTCTTCGAAAATTTAGATATTTTTCTCGAAGGTTTTCTATATCCTCGTGTAATGTTGCTACCTTTCCAGTAACAGCCATGAAACTTTGATGTTGGCTACGCATAGATTCATTAAGTGCGGCGAGATCTTTATCTGTATCGATAATTAAACAAATTTATTAATAATCTAATAATCGAAATCTATTATATACGATAATGATAATTTGAACGTACTTTCGTTTTCATTGCCTTGTTGACATAACGAAGAAAAATGTCGATCTATTTCCTATATTATGAGAATTAATATTTAAAAAAATATTGATAAAAAATCTAATATAAAAAGATTTAAGAAAGAAAAGAAAAATTAACCTCAATTGTGGTAGAATATTGCCTCAATCGTTCTTCGAAAGAATTTAAAAGGTCATGATAATATCTAAATTCAATATATTATTAAAATATCAAAAGATGAATGAATTTAAATTAATTAATTAAGCCATTGCGTTGAATTTTCTTACTTTGAAAATACATTATCTCCGAGTTGTAAAATGTTTCCGGTTTGTCCTTGGGAAGCCGCCTCGTAAAACCGTTTACCGCTATCCACAATTGCGATTTGACCTCCTAGATCCTTTAATCGCTCGTTTATTAGATTATGGGCAGTTTGTAGTTCATTCTTCAAGGCGTTTAATTTCTACACGGTATATGTTCAGCAGGTTAGCCCGGCCTATATGTGGACAATCGATTATTGTCACACAATGAATTATGAAGCCAAATGACAACTTGCTGCAATGAAGATTAATGCAAACCTGAAACAATGCTCGAGATTCATCAGCAACTTCTTTTACATAATCATTCAAATCCGGTAGATGCGTGGATTCAATGCTCGACATTATTAATTTTTGGTTTTGTATGAATTGTCTGAAAATTTATTAAGGAATAAAATAAAAAAAAAATACAAAATCTTATTGCCGATATATAATTAACGGCAAAAAAAAATTTATTAATAATAATAAAGGATACTCTATATCAGTAATTAATTTTTGATCTTGTTCAGTAAGTTCTGAAAATTTTGTTGCTTTTGTAATATTAGCTGACAGTTGTCCCCTAAATTATTTTAAATGGTTAATAATTCATTAAGAAATTTGAATATGTTAATTATCACGTACCCTTGCGTTAGTTTTACGAGCGTTCTATTACATTTAAAAACAATCAAATCAAATATTAATTTATATTTAATCTTTTCAAAATTATAAATGAAATAAAACATTACTTTTCTATTTCTGACGCAAGACCCCTAAATATAAATAAGAACATTTTAAATAGGACATTTAAATAATTAATAAAATTTCTTTAAAACTTACCCATGTGTTGTTCCCAAAAGTGAAGGATTAAACCCCGTAAGTCCGGTCCCTATCCCAGAAGATGCAGAAGTAAGCCCAAATCCAAACCGTGGTGCAGAAGAAGCAGGTGTAAAACTTGATGATAATCCAGTTCCAAATTTTTGTTGTCCGAAAGGAGTACCAGTTCCAAACGCTGGCATTGACGAGGTAGTCGTAGTTGGCAAGTTAAAAGTTCTTCCGAACGCGCTTCCTGATCAAAAATACGAAAGAAAAAAAAATTAGATCTGTAGTAGTAGATCAAGAAGTATTAAGTTTTAACTACCTGATTGTTGTGTGTTCCAGGCAGGAGTTCTTTGCGTATTGAATAAAAAAAAAAAGTCAGATATTTATTAAGTCAATTACAATTTAAAAGCAACTTGTGATTAAAATTATACGCACTGTGACATATTTAAAAATGTTTTCGAAAAGAGGAGGATTAGGACCGTGCGTAGATCCCTATAAGATAAACAAATGAAGTTGGTTGTACAAATCGTTTACTTAATTAAACACGTGAAAATCGAAAATCGTTAATCGTTTGAACTTTCCTTAATATGGAGGAGGTACCAAAGGTTAAAAATTTTGAATTACCCGAAGCTGTGAAAAATATCGAATTGCTACCTGCAATTGTCAAAAACATGGAGCTACCTGAGGTAGTAAAGAACCTTGAACTTCCAGAGGTAGTTAAGAATATAGAGCTTCCGGAAGCAATGAAAAACTTGGATATATCTAATGCTGTGAGAAATGTTCCAACAACTGTTATGAATAATGTACCAGAATCTGTGAAAAATATTCAGGTTCCGAAGTCTATGAATGCCGCGATGTTTTCTTGTGAGTAATCATTGATCACTTGCTTAAATTAACCGTTCATATAAAAATTTAGATTTGCATCAAGTTTATTTATTTTAATTATTTGACAACTTTAGCATTCGCGACAACTGCCTTAACCAGTGTCGCGTCTTTGACAAAGACAATTCAGCAAAAAGTAGAAGAAACAGCAAAGAATTTACAACATGAGCATGAAGTATTTGTTAAACAAGTTAATGAGGAAGCACATAAACCTAAAACTGGAACAGGTAATTCTTTTTTTTCCTTTCATAATTTGGTCATTTAGCCCAATATCGAGGTTAATTGATTATACAAATTTTTGATCTTAGAAGCCGTTGCTCCCTGGGTAGGACTTCCAAATGAAGACAGCCTTAAGCAGCAAATGTTAGCATTATCCCATGTAAGGAATGGAATTTGATCAGATCTGATAATTTCGCGAATCAATATTCCATAATCTTAATTTACATTCTTTTAGGACAAGCGAAATTTCACAATTCCTCCACCAGAAAACACAAATTTTCAATTTGATATGAATATATTTTTTCAAACTGCTATGGCTGCTTTAAATGCCGATCCTAACCTTAATTATAGGCGGTTTGAACTTGTTCCAGCTCAGTAAGTGTTATTCTATATAAAATAAGTTATTGAATAATGAATTAATTAGATAGGAATTTTTTCTTAAAAAAAAATTTTTTTTCTAAAAAAAAAAAAAGTGTGCAAGAACCAACATTTTGGAGGAATTATTTCTATAGAATATCTCTAATTAAGCAAACTTCATTAGGCTCAATTGATTCTATAGTTTTAGAAAATGAAGTATTTTCAAAAGATCCTAATGAAGAATCAAGAAAATTTGAAGAAAAACAGGAAGAGAAAAACGAAGAGGTAGGTAATTTACATTAAATTATAGTAATATTTATCATAACTTTAATACAAACTAAATGTTTTTGACTTCAAATTTAAAATAAAGACAAAGATAGAAGATAAAGAACAAGAAGATTCATCAAACAAAGAAGTCTTATTTGATGCAAATAAGAGCGGAAATGAATCAGGTAAGTCTACTTTAAAAATGTGATTTCGTTAAAATGTATTTTTATTTATTTATTTGGTTTATTATTTTTTTTTTTAAAAAAAATTCAGATGCTTGGATTCAAGATTTTGCTACGGCCGCTGGTATAGTAAGCACAGATGGCGATGAAGAGGAACCTGATAATTGGGAGGAACAGTTAAACCAGCATTTATCCTCTGAATAACTCTTTTAACATTGCATTTATTTAATATTATATCTCAATTCTAAATTATTGTATAATAATTTTTTGTATTCAAAAATACTTTTAAATACCAACCTTTCTAGTGGGTTAACATCTCGCATCATTCCCCTCTGTAATTCGTATATAGTTTTCATACATTAATGTTTTTTGAATTTTTTTTTTTTTGTTTAATACTTTTATTTCATACTTTCTTATCACTCATACATATTATTATTCATCAAAAATAAAAAAATTTTAAGCAAATTTTTTTATATAGTGTTTATCTATTAGCGCAAAATATATTAGTTTAATGAGAATTAATAATATTAAATTATTATTTTTTAAAATTTACTAATCTTTACATTTTTAAGATAGCTTGTAATTTATATAAATATAAAGCACTAGTATAATCTTGTAAAATTAATGAAATTATCTTTATGTAAATGATAGTAAAAGATAATTCTTTTATAATTCTTTAAACATATTAATATTTGTTTTCTAAATTATATTTATATTTATCTATTAAAAGTAATAATAACTTCATTCTTATTTATATTAAAAATATTTTCTAATAAAAATTAAATATAATTAACTTTTTTAATTTACTTAAGAATAGCAATTTTAAATTGAAATAATAAAATAAAATATATAATTTAAATAATAATCTATTTAAAGCTTCATTTATAAAAAACTTTAATAAATTTTTAATAAATAATAAATAATTAAATTATTTAATTAAAAGAAATAAAATATTAAAATTATATTAATAATAAATTTTAAATAACAAAAAAATATAATTTTAATTTTTTTATTAATATTTTTTATCTTTAATTCTAAAATAAATATTTTAATATTATAAATAAATATTTTTTAACAATAATAAAATAATTATCATTATATTCTATTATTATTTTATATTTTTTTTAAAATTGATTATAAAAGAATATTTAAACTTTTTCAATATATATTTTTTTAAAATTATTATAACTAGCTAAAGTATTTAATATTATTTTATTTTATTTAATATAAATAATTTAAATAATTATAAAATTATTTTAGAAATATCATAATTTTTAAAATAGATTTTGAGAATACTTTAATTCAAATATTAATAATGTAGAATCAAAACATATAAAATGTTATATCATATGATTTTATTAATAAAAGAAAATATTATAAAAAATTAAAACATTAAAAGATTAGAAAATAATTAATCAAATAAAAAATCATAAAAAATAAATAATTAATTAAAATCACATGTTATGAAATACAAATCATATAAAATAAAAACAAATCATATGATAGGTAATACAAATATAACAAAAAAAGATAAATCATGAGATATAGAAAAATAAATTACTAAAACATAAAGAAAGAAAATAAAAAAACCTTTGAATAAAAAATGAAAAAGAAGATAACTTAATATATACAAAAGTTATATAAAATCTCAAATAAATTATACAATATTTATATAATCTATTTTGCTAAAAAAAAGAAATTAATAAAAATAATAAAGAAATATTAATATATATAAAGATACAATAGAAAAAGAAGAATCATTATATAGAATATAAAAAATATTGTAATTATTAAAACCTATATTATAAAATATATGATATTTTAGAATTCATTAGTTTTAACAAAAGTGATATCCAAAATCCAAAATTCTGATAGGTTTAAGATACAAAATCCCAACTAATCAAAATTTCAAAAAAATAATTTTAAATATTACTTGATTTCTTATATATACATTTTATTTTATTTGATAATAAAATTTTGTTTGCTAATTAATCTTAAATTTTATTTTATATATAGCTATATATTATATATTTTATTTTCAATTCATTGTTGATCTTTTTAAATTCTCATATATATTATAATATATATTTTACTTTATTTATTTATTACTCTTATTTTGTATTATATATATTTAAAGTTAGTCAAATTTTCTATTTTTATAATTTATAATTTGGTATGATATAATTTTAACTTTAATAAGTAATCCTGAATAATATAAATCTATATAATATATAAAATTTGAATTAATAAATATTTAAATAGCATAAACTGATTCTTTATTACATGTAATAATTTAATAAAATAGATAGTTATTTTCTCATTAGTATATTTATAGATAAATAAAATGCCTTAATATATTTATAATATAAAATGTATGTAATTAATTGCATGTAATTATAAATGCTAAATATAAATAAAAATTTCATATTTTTATTTTTCTATTCTTTAATCACAAAAACATATTAGAAATAGAAAACTATAAAAATATGTGATATTATTATTATATTCTAAAAAGAAAATAATAAAATAAATGTTCAAAGCTATTTAATAATAAAAAACAAATAAAAAATGATACATATTATTAGTGTTATAAGAGAAGAAAATTAAAGAATTGTAAGAGTTATACAATAATAATTTTTTGTAATAGGTCTCATTATCTTAAAAAATTTGTTGAACATAATCACTCACCTCAACTTAATAATATAGTAATTATAAAACTATTTGTCGAATAAAGCAATAATAAAAGATAAACTTATACAAATCATTTAAGATATTACAATTAATATATTATAAGAGTATTACTTCTATATGCCATCTTTTAATACTTTCATTTAAAAATTAAATGTATTAAAAGAGTAAAAATGCTTGCATTATTGAAGAAGTTAATATTTCAGATTTATTTCGTTTAACTTTAAATAGTAATTCTTTCTTAAATAAAAGATTATAAAATTAGTAATGATCAAATTTTACTATTTGCCATACAAGCAAATATTGAACATTTATCTCAGACTTCATTTTAGCTAATGAACAGTACTTTCAAAACTATTTTAATAATATTTTGTCAATTATATACCATTCATGCACCTATTGGTAATAAAAATTTAAGAATTCTTTCACTTATTTTCTTATTAATAATAAGTAAATCAAAAGAAATTTACAAAAGCTTATTCAAAAAATTGATCGATTTTGTAGCAAAAAATGATCTTACTTTATAACTCTAACCAATTTTGAATTAATATCAATCAATACATTCCACTATGTATTTTCTAATGTTAAACATAAAGGATGTT